ATCTCGCCTCTATTTTGGGACCGTCTCCATCGTACACGGCTCGACGGACGGCAGCATGCGAATTGCCGGCCTCGTGGATGGCCGACGATATGAAGAAAGTCTTGTTAGTCCCGCCTTAGACCGTGATGCGGGAAGCGGTGTGCAGTGCGAAGAAAGCCGAGAGAAGTGGTTCTCGGCGATGTGATGGATGCTGAGTGATGGTGGAGGGCTAGATTCTGGGCTGTCTTCAACTCCGACATCTGGATTACTGTTTACACTATCATAGATTTCCCAATTGGGAAGCAGCGTAAACAGATGCCACGGTCGCGCCTTCCTTTTGCTCGCCGTTGACCAAAGCACACCCGCAGAAAACAACATCAGGCCATTGTTCTGCACACAACCACACATGCCCTCTGATCGACAGCTTGTGAACCACGTTCAATTCTCCGACAGGAGCCTTGCCAAAAGCTTCACCATGAGTGCGAACTGATACCGAACGAGTATCGTACCACTTTGTTTTGCGTCAACGTCTGCCATGGCTGCCAGCCCCCACCGTGACGGCATTGACAGCCACGAGGGCATCTGAAGTAAACTTTGTCGTATGATGTTGTTTGATGAGCAAGCCTGAGGAACCAGGAGCGAGCTTCGATATGATCTTCCATGCAGATGACTGATCATCATGCACCAGGTTTGCGGTTGGAGACCTGAGGCACAGAACAGAAACCGGGACTCAGGCATCCGTCGGGACGGATTATCTGAGTGCTGCCGTGCCGCACGTGCGATGGCGATATCTGCGGAGAATTACCTATTCGATCAGCGTGGCCGATTGTTCGCACTGCGCTGGTTTCATGGCTATCGTGTACGTCAGAGCCAGCGGTAACGCGAATCGGCTTGCGTAAAGGCGTTTGGCAAACTCTTCGCCGCCACCATCAACGAAGTAGCGGCATAGAATTGTCTAATGACCTGAATAATGTCTCCGCCGAGAAACAGTCACCAAGTCTTAGACAATGGCTACAAAACCACGTGAACGCGAAGATTCACGCCTAGCTCCGCCCTCGCTACACTACCTTTGCCAAGCTAGCGAGCATCAGCCGTTCATAGGATTGATAGGATAGACTAAAATGGCGGCGCGATCCAGGATACTGGCACCGTGGCTGCAGAGAGGCTGGCGTCGCATGCAGCATCACAGCAGCCCAGCCAATCGCGCCGCGCACACGCCCAATCGTCCACGAAGCGGGTCAAGCGGCTACGAGCGACCATCTCTCCCCCCAGCGCGCGCCGAGCCAGAAGAAGAGTGCGACAAGGGTGCGCGATGCAAGGCCCTGGCGCATAAACTGTCTCTACAATTGCGGTCGACACCCGCTGTCGCTCCCGATATACTGACACGCCTGCCGTCGCGAAGCTCAACGGCAACACCACGCTGCCTGAACACCTAACACGCCTGATACTCGCCTACGCCTCAGCCCACCATAACACCTACCCACTATACACTCCACTCGACTTGCTCCGTGCCTGATCTCCCCAGAAGCCTTACCGCTTTCGCCACGCCTGCAAACCGCCCATCCGCGACCAGGCCAGTGTCTATAACACAAAACCTCGCCCTGCCACACCCAAGCCCATCGATGCTCATCTGTCGCTGAGGGACTACTGGTAGTCGAAGGGACATTTCCACTTTCTTTTCTTCATTTTTTCTATTTACCTTTATTTTCTCACCTATACGACCGCGGGCTCGGTTTATTGCTCGTATCCTTTCTTTATAATACCCGTATTTCGACAATGGGCAAGTTAATCAAGAACCACTGGGCGCGCCTCGTCATCCTCACGGCTGCTGCGTGTAAGTCTTACCCCACAGCCATCGACACCAACACCATCACCAACACCATACTAATTACAACTCCAGATCAAATAGGAGCTGCACTCGAATGCTTCTTCTGGCCCAAGATCTTCTGGGACTTTGCTACCAAGAACCTCGATGGCGCCGTAAAGCCCATCCCCGTACTCCAAGTCATCAACATGATTCTCGGCTTCATCGGTCTAGCATGGGAATGGCCATTGCCACTGCTCGCTGGCACAGGACTGCACCGCTCGATTGAAGCGCGCCTGATCATCTACCCGCTCAGTGCGCTGTGTGCGCTCTTGATCTACCAAGGCACCAACTCGGGACTCTACTACATCATTGGCATGGGAGCGTACTTTTGGGCGTTTAGCGAGGGCGAGGTATGTACCATTCTATCCCTATCAGACATCGACGTACTAACGTCATTCCAGGTCGTCTGCCCCGAGCCATGGACTCTCCCCAAGCGTGGTTCCACAGCCCGCAAGATGACCGCATAGTCTGGCCCTTCCGTAGACAGCAACAATGCACCTCAACTTCGCTTCTCACAAACTATACCCCGCACACGGCTTTCCATGTACAATGTCCACGTAGACGACGTACCACTCCCAACTCTCTGGCAGACCACCCACCATGATTTAGCGATTTTCCGGAACCGTCCACGAGCGGACGCGTTCAACTCAGCATCAAAGACGAGCAGCAGCATTCATCTCACGATACCAAAAACCCCAACAAACGAGCAGTCGAGCATCCTATCCGAGCCCGCCTGTATTATCTTATCCATCATGGACAGCGTCACGCAGCGAATGTACGGGCGCTAGGTGTTTGCACTACTTAACAAACTTACAAACGAACAAAAATGAATCAATAACCAAAAACACATCATGACGCATTTGCTCACTGCACTTCTCAGTCCTTCCACATATCGCTCTCACCCAACGTTGCCATTCTCCAAGGATTTACCTTTTTGCCTTTTGCTCTGACTGCTGTGACATCTCTGACATGACAAAACCTGAGGCAACTCCTCGTTTCAGCCCCATCCACACCCCACAATTCCCTTCCCGTTTCGCTCTCCCGTTGTATGCGGTGCATGCCTTGGCCTAACGGGCTTCTGACAGCTTGCGCCTCAGTCAAGATTGTCAAGGAAATTGGCTGAGAGGCTTTACCTTGGCTAGGGTTCAAGGTGGATGACATGTCTTGCGTGTCTACTAATCTGAGATGTGAAGTTGGCATCACACGCCATATGGATTACTATGCCCATGAAACTCGCTGTAATCCGAGTGTTGCACCACCCTTTGTCTAGCATTGCCTGATCGTGCAGTGACCTGGCACGAGTATGATACGGCTGCCTGAGTGTACCCGCAAATCGTTCTAGACTCCGCACGAAGAACATGATAGCAATGTCGATCTTTAAGAAGATGGTAGATAGTGCGGTGTTGGGTTTGGCATTCGGTGCGGAGGTAGTGGTAGGCATAGTGAGCATGGAGCTGGAATTATTGTGGATCTGCGGAGATACATGTTAGCGTTTGTCTAATCGGAAAGCAGGAGTAGGATGCAAGAGGGCAATCACTTATTTACTGATCAGTTATGATGCCATATTTCCCCGCCCAAGACACTACCTTTGGCGCTCGAAGCTCTCCTTGCTGTGCCAGCCATCGCTGGACTGTTGTCACGAATGTTTTGAAGAGTCAGTTCTGGGCGGCTTAAAGGTAGGTTAGTACATCCATTGCCCGCCACACAAATACAGGCTTTCATGGTCGGATCTTGCGGAGATATGAGCACTACGAGAGTGTATGGGTAAAGATAGATGACTGAGGTCTTGAAGCTGTGCTCGCGCTGGTAGGCGCATCATTGCGACGCCCGTTGGAAGGCATCATCGTGGATGTGGCTTTGAAAGGCTGGGCTGATTACAGAGCTAAGTGTGTACGATCACAGCATCGCGATATCGCAAAGGAAATGTTATACGTTGCTCTTGGGTGAGCATGGCGCGTCGCTGCGAGTAGGAAGGCGCGTCGAGGCGATGGTGGAGGGATGACGACAATACCTCGACGCGCCGTCGCACAGACCAACATGATCCCGCCTGCGCTCCTTCAACACCTCCATTACTTTCTGTGTCTCCCTCTTTCTCATGCGCGCAACATATGGAATTGCGCTATCGATTCCCTATCGATTCGGCCCTGAATATGTGTGGTCATGTAAGCTAGCAACCCGGTTCGCCATATCAGCAGTGGCCAATAGCCCTCAGAAGGCTATTTATCCTACTCGTTCCTGTATCTCCTGCGTGGGAAAGTCCTGCAGGCTGCGCGCAGGTCGCTCGTGGCTCTGCATGTGCTTACTGTCAGCACTCTATGCTCAGGTTGCTCCATGATAAGTTTGCTTCGCCTGTCGCGCTTCTTCGAAATGAATATTCCACCTTCTCTTCTCGGCCCTCAATATGCTGCTCCGAAGTGTTTTACCGCTATGCTTTGTTATACTTACCCAGGCTCGTACGCATCTCGGACGTACTGCGCAAGTGATTGAAGCAAGACAACTCAGCAATGAGACGACATACGATTTCGTTGTTGCCGGTGGTGGCATTGCGGGGCTTACGGTTGCAGATCGTTTAACGGAGAACCCAAATGGTACATCACTCGCGTGCTCGAAAGGCTTCAAATTAATCGTACGCGATAGTCACAGTACTAGTAGTCGAATACGGCCCTTTCGACCAGAGAGAAGATGGTATCATGATCCCTGGTGCCTATTTTCCGGTGCCTTACCTCTGGCTGCCCTTGATGAGTACGCCACAAACCGCGCTTGGTGGTACATCGTATGGTGTGCCATGTGGCAGGGTGGTGGGCGGCGGGTCTGTTGTGAACGCCATGTTCTTCCATCGATCAGACGCAGAGCTCTATAACGCTTGGGAAGAACTGGGTGCGACTGGCTGGGGTTGGGCTGATTTGTTTCCGTACTTCAAGAAGGTATGGTTTACTCTCGCTTTGTGAACTGTATGCTGATGAGGAGAAGAGTGAGACGTTTACAGCACCGGACGCGGATTATGCAGCTAGTCACAACATTACCTGGGATGCTTCCGTACATGGCTTTGAGGGCCCAGTGCAGGCTAGCCATGCTCCTTATGACTACCCGGGTAGCGGTGAGTCTCTAGCGACCCAGCTGAAGTATCTGAAAGCTCACTATCAGGGTAGCCAACATGTACAACGGAGCCCTAAAGCTAGGTATCCAGCCAGCCCTAGACCCCAACAATGGCCGCGCTCAAGGCATATTCCGCCTTCTTCGCTCCGTTGATCCCGAAGCCCAGACGCGTTCTTCAGCTCGAGTCAATCGCTATGATAGGGACGCTACGAGGCCAAACTATCATATCCTCTCGAATACGGCGGTATCGCGCATTCTGTTCGAGAATATCACCGCTGTAGGCGTGGAGTATATCAGCACGTCGAATGGCCAGAAACACACTGTCCAAGCGAGCAAAGGAATCATCATAGCTGCTGGAAGCGTTCATACTCCGCAGATCCTGCAACTTTCTGGGATTGGCGACACTGCTCATCTAAAGAGCTTGGGTATTGAGACTGTTTCAGGTCTCCCTGGTGTCGGTCGAAATTTGCAGGATCATCTGGTTCTGAAAGTGAATTACAACTGTACGCGACTGAACTCCATACTTGTCATTTATGGGTCGGCTGATTGATTCAGATACATCTAATCACTTCCCGAATGGCGGTTCATTGCAGTCCAACGCCACGTACGCCACAGAACAACGCGCTCTCTACGACGCTGGAAAAGCAAGCGCATTCGACCTCACTGGTACAACTGGTAATCTCATGATTCAGCTACCGCTGTCAAACTGGACGAATGACTCCGCATCTATCATATCTCGAGCATCTTCATTCTCAACGATCGACGTACTCGGCAACGATATGAACCCATCAGTCCTCGCTGGCTACGAAAGACAGCGTGCCATTATCATCAAGGACATCAACATAGAGGCTGTGGGTGGTCTATCATGGAACACCGGCCCAGAAACAAGCATCTACATGACCCGCCCTCTCAGCCGTGGTTCAATCACCATCAACTCAACTAGCATCCTTGACGCTCCACTCATCGATTACGGCGCGCTGACAGACCCAACCGACCTCGACATGTTATACGCGATCTACATGAAGAACCGCGAACTAATGGCAACACCTGATATTGCCATTCTCGGTCCCAGAGAGACAGCACCGGCACCGGGCATCAGCGATGAGCAAGAAATCAAGGAGAAGATCAAAGCTGCCTTGCAGCCGAGTAATGCACACCAATGTTGTACTGCTGCTATGATGCCAAGAGAATATGGCGGGGTCGTCGACCGGCAGAATAGAGTCTATGGCACGTTCGGACTGAGTGTGGTGGATGCGAGTACGTGGCCGCTTGTTGCTGGTGGTGGGCCTCAGGCTACTGTTTATGCTGGAGCTGAGAAGGTGAGGTTATGATCGAGGAAAGCTGGTATTCATATGTACTAATGATGCGTAGGCCGCGGATATGATCAAGAAGCGTCACGGATTGCTTTGAGATCCGTCTCTTGATGTGCTTGGCGTTCGTAAGCCGCGGCGTGGACATGGAGAAGCTGTCGGGGTTTGCGGAGTTATCGCTCTTGACTATCTGTCGGGCGTTGATCTCATCTCACGTGTAGTCTACATTCAATGCATAGCGTTCTGAGGCAGCATCGAGGTGTTTATGCGTGGCTACTAAATGGGTTCTCGCAGGAAGAGCTATATATACTTGAACGTACGAGGAGCAGTTCTTCACTTCACCAACTAATCGAGTCGCACTCGAGATGGATACTTCAAAGCTTTTCAGTGTCGAAGGCATGATCGCAGCGGTGACAGGTGGAGGCACAGGTACCCTCTCTTCTTACCATCATCTCATATTGATACCTCCTTCACTCCTAACACCAGTGTTAGGAATCGGCCTCATGATAGCTCACGCCCTCGCCTCCGCGGGCGCGTCCAAAGTATACATCCTCGGGCGCCGCGAAGACAAACTCTCAGCCGCAGCCTCTCAACACGAAAACATCATGCCACTCCAATGCGACATTACATCCAAAGCATCCCTCCAAGCCGCCGTAGACTTCATAACACAAGACATAGGCTACATCAACCTCCTTGTCGCAAACTCCGGTATCTACGGTCCACCATCAAGTTTCATACCCAGCTCAAGCGTCAAAGAACTGAGGGAGCATATGTTCGAGAACATATCTATGGAAGACTTCACACAGACCTTCCACGTCAACACTACTGCGACGTACTTTACTATGCTGGCTTTTCTCGAACTATTGGATGCAGGAAACAAGAATGCCATAGCCGGTGGATTTGGTAAGCCACTGAAAGAAGGTAGTAAAATACCGAGTATACAGTCACAAGTCATTGTCACGTCCAGTGTAGGCGCTTTCCTACGTGAGTGGCAATGCGCGCCAGCATACGCGGGGAGTAAAGCAGCAATTATGCATCTGGTCAAACACAGCAGTACAAGGCTTGCGCCGCATGGTATCAGAGTCAATGCTCTGGCGCCTGGATGTCCATCTTCCCCTCCCCGCAAACCTACCGTTCCGTGGCTAACAGCACGTCAGTCTTCCCATCTGAGATGGCCAACGCAGTTATCGAAGGCAGAGACCCCAGTACAGAGAGCGTCGACGATCCAAACTTCATTCCTGCACGAAGATTTGGCGGAGAGGAGGAGATGGGTGGGACGGTGTTGTATCTTGCGAGCCGGGCGGGGAGTTTTTGTAATGGGTTGGTGCTTGTGAATGATGGGGGGAGGTTGGGTGTTACGATGAGCAGTTATTGAGGATGAGAAGGGTAAGGGGTATGTATGAGTAGCTGTCATGTCGATATGAAAGCAAGCCGTATATTCTCTTATTTCCAGCCCTGGACGAGAGTAATCGCGACGCCGTTACATGCGTGCTGTGACTATGACATCACAGACGCTAAACATCCACCGCCTGATGCACGTCGTTTGCGATACTTCCGCTGATCATGCCTCGCAGCGCAAGCTCTTTTTCCGACCAAAAAGATGTTTAATGTCCGACCGGCTAGCAGCAGCTGTAGGACGAAGGAAGACAAGGCTGAGCGAGAAGCCTTCACCCCAGCGTTCCTCAGCGGCAAGCGCTATGACAGGTGGACCACGACCCACCATCTACTGCCCACCGCCATCCCCAACCCCCAAACCAGCCTTTCACAAAATCCTTCGATACCACAAACCCTCCTTCTAGCTCCCAACCCATCACCTCTGTGTCCCTCACCCCCCTCCCGGCACCACTTCCCCCATCCACACGCATCACACCGCCCCTCGGCCCCTTTCCCCATCCACCACCACCCTCCTACAACACACATGCAACGCTCTTGGGATAATCCCCGTAGACGCGCCGTACAGAAGTGGAGCCTCATACTACGCATCCAGTCCTGCATGTTCTGCTGTGCGACACCTGCTGACCGGCTTTGTGCGTGTGTGACGGGCTGTCGTGTGTAACGCGAGCAGGGAGGATATGCCTGCACCTGCCCTGCGGCAGGGTCCAGATGCAGCCCGGACCCGTGTTCTGAAACGAGCGTTTGTTTACTGCGTTTGGTGGTGTGGGTTCGGGGCGGTGTGTAGCCTGCGATGTATGTATGTGGGGAGACGGATGGTGGAAAGCGGTATGTGGAAGAGAGATTGCTGGTTGGGGTGTGTCGTTACGAGGTGGTGTGGGTCTGTTTTCGGGGTTTTGCAGCGAGTGTTTGGGGGAAAGTGACATGCGATCAGGCGTGAGCTGAGGTATCTGCAAGTCAGGCAGGGGTATACTGTTGGAGTGTGGTTGCGCAGCTCAAGGTAAACTCTTTAGAGAAGCGAGAACGTGCATGTCTTCTTTGGAACAACGTGAGAGTGGTGAGCAACGCGCGTCAGGTGGTGACAGTACCTTGCTTCACTCTGCAAGTGGAACCGTGGGGTTGAAGCTCGTTACGATTATCATTATTCGCTCATGACACCTTTTATGCTAATCAGTACAAAGTATCCGGTACATGACCTCCTATGTTTCCGTGGTATCGCATGCGCAGCAACCTTATACACACTAAGCTTGCGACATGTGCTTTTCCCAATTTGAGCGAGTGTGAACGTGATAAGAATGCGGGGTGTGTTTAAGGAGCGGCCCTGGCGTTTTGTCTTGATGAGAAGACATGGTAGCGATACTGGTGTACAAGAATAGACATTAGCCGCCCAAGCAGAAAACAATCGTAACGTTTCGTAGCGTAGCAATGATGCTGAAAGCAATGCAGTGTAGAACATCGAGACGAATACATAGCGTTACAACACAGTGTTGAATGAGCAGAAAGGAAACATGGTTTGATGAACGCCAACCGGAAATGGCTCACCTGTTGCTGAGGACAATGCGAAAGCGTAACGTGAACCGGGCCGAGAGCCATGCTCATGATGATGACGGAGTGCTCGACGAGTCGATTGCCGGGACTAAGATGCAGAGAGGGAACAGCGTGCTGGCTGAAGCTCCCCGCCCAAGGATGCAGCGATGTGAGATGTTGTACATTGGCATAAATTCAGACCATTAAGTACCCCACGGCGATGAAAAAGGATTGGGATACGCAATAGTGACGAGATAAGAAGAGTGATGCAGGCAGGCTGATCCGCCGTGATGCTGAAGGGGGTATCTCAGTAAGTGCTGTTGAGGTTTCCCATCGAGGTGCGGTGGAGCTGCACAGGCTGCATGTTCCGATTCTGGCACGACTCGCGATGCAAGCTGCGATTTCCTGGGGAGCTCCGTGTTTGGCTGTGGCTAAGAGGTGTGTAGCGATGACCACTGACGAGTGTGCAATCGCTCGATGACTCGCCACTTAGCGAGTTCCGCTTTGACGACGAGTCAGGGCTGTAGCTGTATAGATTCGTCTGTGAGGCTGGGCGTGTCATTGGGCGTGTCTCACGGACATAGGAGTAGTTTGTCGCTGGAGCTGGCGCACTCATGCCTTCGAGAAGACCAGATGTACTGAAGTTCAGCTCTAGCTGAGATGCAGTGGTGGTGGCAGTCGCATCGTCCGCGGTCGACGTTGTATTTGGCATGTAGCCCATCCTGCTCTCCGCGTTGTCTGGCATGACCGGGGATATTAGTTGGGTAAAGGCATCTGCAGATGACGCCCCGGATGCGTTGGCGTGACTCTCGCTGTCGGTAGTCCACGGTAGTAACGATTTCGCGAAAGAGCCTCTACCGTCCATACCCGAAGTGCCAATAGCCTGGGCCGAGCGGAGACGAGCATCTTGCATCTGGTCTACAACATGGCTGCTCTGAGCTGGGCTCGGTTGTGGCATTGGCAGTTGTCTCCTAGGCACACTGGAATCCAGAGGGAGAGGTTGTCGTGGATGGGGCCTCTCAGGGATAGTCAATTGCAGAGAAGACATTCCGGTATTGAGAGGGGATACGTCCGAAGGTGTGGCTAGTCGACCATTTGTATGAGCGAATTGCAAGTCCTGATCAAAGTATGTGCTTCCTTGCTGCAAAGACTTCGCAGTTGGCTGAGTCCAGCGATAAGCGGGCGTGTACATGTTTGTGTTTGCGATTGCTGTAGACTGTGGTAGATATGCGGGTGGCTGGTCGAGAGGGTAGGCGTCAACCGGCGATGTGTCTTCTGAATAGGGAAGAGTCCATGCTGAAGAATAGGCCGGCTTCGAATCGAGTTGTGAATATTGCTGATTTGGCATGGGGCGTGCATAAAGACCGCTATTGCCTCCCGTAGAGTACATGGACATCATGTTGTTATGCGCGGTAGCCATACCACTGAGGCTGTAAGCCATGCTTCTGTCGTCTAGCACTTTGTGGACGGAATCGGATCCCACCTGACTGAATGAGTGAATGTACAAAACGCAAGCAACTAACGTACTCTGTGGAATTGACAGCCTGCCGGTTCTACTCCAGCCGTTCGACAGTTGACGCACCCAATACCATTTCCAGGATCGCCGCTGCATCGAATCTTCCTCTTACGGCAACGCGCGCACTGGAGACAATGTTAGTAAAAGTAGGAACAGCATTTATAGAGAACGTAGTTAGGAGGGCAGCGAAAAATTGTGTTCTTTGTGAATGGTTCCGAAATTGTTGAAACACATGTTGACATACCGCTACTGCAATGCGACGTCTCGCTGGCCCATTTCCCATCATGGGTTCTTCCATGCTGGCTCGGTTATGCATACCGCCCACTGGGCCGCCCATGGGATAACCTCGTGGATTTTCTCGCGTATTATGGGCTAAGGACAGCGGAGCATTGCGATCGCTGTACATGTATTTCGGATAGGACAGGTTGTGAGGCAAACAGCGTCGCGGACTGCCGTACTCCATGACTGACATACTGGCGAATCAACTGAACGTCAGCTATTTCAGTCTCCATGACCTGAAGTTGACTTACATCTCACAAGGATACCGACAAGATCGACTGTTGGCGAATTACCCACAGGTATGATTCGGATAGCGTTCGCGGGATGCAACGCCCGAGTCAAGAAAGGGCAGTAGTTGATGACTGGACCGTGGGCGCTCCTCCAGGGAGAAAGTGTAATGAACCGGTGAGCAGGTCATACGATGATCGGCTGGCAGGATTATGTTTATAACCCAAACGAGTTCCTTGCGTCGGCAAAGACTGTTATACTGGATAAGAGAATGATGCAGGGCGAACGTGGCTCCAAAGAATGGCTTCGAGAGTGAGTGTTGATCAGGAATTTGTTTGTGACCTCTGTCCCCCATGAGGGCTATCTCGTTAGTGCCTCCGGACACCTGCATGCATGGATGCGGTACGGTGACTGTACAAGAACCTGGGCCTGCGCTTCCAAGAGAGCACTGGCCAAGCCCCGCGGAGAGAAAGACAGGTGAAACATTGTACGGCCTAGGTCCTGTGAATACTTCTTCATGACAAGCGCCAGAGCCGAATCAAGACCCATGAAGTATGTGATGTGGCCCCCACCCCTTCCTCGACGGGGCTATCTTGTAGTCGTGAGGCTTTAGCAGATACCCAATCGGACAAACACTGATGACTTTTCCCGTTACAAAGAAGCCACGTTATCAGCTATGCTTGATCTTTCGCAAACAGTCGATGGATGTTTGTAACTGACATAGTGTTACCGCGGATCCGGGATGTGAGGCACGGATTTGACAGTTTCAATCGACTTGCCCTAATCCAGGACGAGTGCGCCAGGCTCGCAGGGGTGTCAAAAGAGTTAGTGCGCTACACTTGCGAGGAACGGGCTTTCTGTGAGGAATAACACGCTGTCGACCAGCGAAACAACCTACTAAGGACTCTCAAGTCTCGTAGTACTGCTTGTAGCATATATTGGCACATTTGATCCTAGGAAGGGTCTGTTGTCAGATCAACTAATCGCTTCGAGCATACATGGCTTGCGCTGAAACGTACCTGCAGATGAT